AAGAACCCTTTCACCATGCAAAGAACACTTTAATCATGCAAAGGGTTCTTTGAGTGTTCATAGTTCTATATAGAACCATTTTGTTAACTAAAGAACAATTGAAGAACAATTTTTAAGAGTGTATGAGCGTCTGATACCTGTTACTAATAACATTAATACTAATAATTATTATTGTTTATTTTTATTTTATTTATTTATTTCGTCTTTAGACTTGTAGGGGTAGAACATCATTTTCAACGTGTGAATGCGGATCACGCCTTGGTCAATAGGATAATGAGAGGAGGGGAACTCTGAGGAATTTTGGGCTGAAGTTCATTACGGCTTCTGTGGGTCACGAGAAGGCCGACCCCCTATACATCAAAGACAAAGTGCAGGCGTGGACAAGGTGGAGGAGAGGGGGGAGGAGGTGAGGTGCGAAATTTCGTCACGAGTAGGAAGAGTGAAGGACTGGTAATTATAGGAAGCTGGAATTGAGAAGGAGGAGTTTTAGGCGTGGCCTTTCCTCAAACTTCAGTTACGTCATAACTCCAAAAATTACCAATATTAAAAATACCTGGTAGAATAAGTGCCATCTATATTTTTGCAAGCTATGTAGTTGCTTTCATGGGCTATGATTTTGATTGCAGTACACATTATTTGAATGTAAAAATGCTCCGCTGATATGTCTGAGGTCTTTATTAATACCAGGTATATCTAGTTTATTATCACAATTATGTTTTTGATTAGAGTTTTAGAGATTAATACGATCAAGACATCTTAAGACTGTCTACAGACATGGCTTAAAGACACGTCCTCATTTCTTAAAACATACCTCAAGATGTCTTAATGTGTCTTCGTAAGTGTGTCTTCAGACGTGTCTCAAGCTGTGGAGTGGGGGGACCAAGCTGGGTGTTTTTTTTCTCTGTAATGTCACTATTTCTGAGGGAAAAAAAAACCAGAAAGATGAAAAAAATGCACTTAACTTTTTTTTCTTTTTGTGTTTAACATGTAAGAAGTGTCTTGAGCCCCCCTGCCTCTATAACTTAATTGCTTTAGTCGTCTCCTGTTTCGTAGGCCTTCCCTGTACGCTACGACTTAACCTCCAGTGTGAGACCGAGCGGCCTTCACACGCTCTCTCTGAGGCTTGCGGTTGGCTGCCATGGCTTTAGCTAACCGTTATTGCATTTTGGAAAATGTCTCTCTCGGGTAAGAGCCAAAAGCAGAAGTTCAGCTGTTGACACTCATGATCCTCTTCACATCCACTTTGTTGTATTCGGTAGCAAACAGCAGGGGGCACTGTAAGCCCAGCTATGTAACCAAAGTCAACCTCATCATTTGGGGTCAGGAGAACCGCTGTTTGTGCTCATTCGTGAGGAACCTTGGTTTTAACCTTGTGTGGCCGAGAAGCTCTGAAACACATTTTCCTATGTGGAGAAATCATAAACATGTTTAATAGATGGTGGATGAAAGCCTTGGATACCTGGATACATAAACTGCAAGGAAAAAAACAGAAACAACACATTTTATAGGTACTAAATTAATAAAAATAACTGTTTAAAGAAAGCTGGGTCTTTGAAAGCCTGCTGGTTAGCTTCTTTACTGTAGAAACATTCACGGTTAAAGGGGAACTCCACCAAATTTTTCTACATAATTGAATGGTTAAGATGTAAACAGAGTCTTTCAGAGTGGTTGGGTGTGAAATGCTCCGTTCTAGAGAGACCAAATGGGTCAGAACTGTTGTGGTGGTGATAGGAACCAGACGTCCACCTCTAAAACCTCCTCACAGAAGGATAGCACCTGAAATGGTTATGAATACACTGCATGCTGTCTGGTTTGTTGTTTAATGACAGTTTTATAATAAAGTCTTGGCCTAAAAATGTGTTTTAATACATGTATTTTAATTCATTCATGGTCAAGGGGTACATGCAGGGCACTGTAAGGCAAAATAGTCCCCCAAAAAACATATTTTTTCAGATTTATGACTATTGTGCCATTATCAACAGCCCATATAAGAACTCAGAGGACGCATGTAGGTTCACTGGTGGTTTTGGACAGTAAATAAAATGTGTATATCTGTGTTGTAGACACGGCGACCCCTGGTTCCTATCACCACCACTGCAAAGAAATCCGAACCATTTTACACCAAACCACTCTGAATCACTCTTTTAACATCTCAACCATATTATTATGCGGAACTTTTGAAAAATTGGTGGAGTTCCCCATTTAACAGACCAACAGAGGATGCTACAGCACAGCTGCATATGCTATAGGGTAGGCGAAATGTTTATTAATGAAATAGCTATATTTAATTCTGGTTCCACTAAACTGTTTTAAGGCCTTCTAGAACCTCTTACTAGCCAAAAAGGCTCACTAGACTAAAAGGCATCTGGATGGATTCCAGGAATTGTTTCTGAAGATGGTTGACCACGTCCAACAAAGTGAAGGACAAATGGCTTCCAAGTGAAGCACAGACTTCAATGTCACTCGCTCCCACTTTGGGCAGCTGTTTTCCCCGCTGACACCTAACACTCCATCTGACTTAGTCACTTTTTTGAGCTTTCTCTTCCTTTATGTTGACTTCTCAGCGCCTCAGAGAGACCCTGCATGAGTTATCATGCTAACCTGCATGTATATTTTAACCACGAAGCTGGTCGGCGTCTCACTGTCCAGCTTCTTTTTCGTATTTTCCCGTTCCACCTTAAATGGGGCAGCAGTTACACTGAGGCGCCGTACGCCACTGCTGTCACTGCGGCGCCATTTAAGGTGGAACGGGAAGATTCGAATAAGAAGCCGAATTAAACCTCGTTTTTTAGCCGTTTTAGCCAACGCCTTCGCACACAGACCCGCTGAATTCGAGAACTACCGCATATTATTTACTTCCTGCTCGAATTAAACGCCGTATAGGACGCTGTGGAAACACCACGAGCAAAAAAAAGCCGTGTTTCCAGCCACTCACTCATTCAGCTTTGTCGTCACAGAATTTCCCCCACTACATGTTCCTCCGAGCAAAGAAATAGTTCCAACGCCGGCACAATGAGCGAGGAGACCTTAGAACTACAATAAAAAAAAAAGGTAATTAGGAGACGGTTTGCGAGTCTCATCCTTAAAATGTCTTCAAGGAGTCCGAAAATGGGATTTTACAAGTGCGCCGTCATTTGGCGGGAAAAGTAGGCGGAGGGATATACAAACGCACGGCGTAGTGGAGTAGCGGACTTATTCGCGGTGCGATGCCAAGCGCCCGTCAGTCCGCTCGGTGACTGCAGAGCAGAGCACAGGAGAGCAGAGGAGCTGCGCTGTTTACCTCTCTGTTTTGGAGGACGACACGACTGTGACTCACTTCTGTATGGTGTCAGGGACCCCCAGACCACCGGAGCACGGGAGAATATTGGATTTTACTCGCGCGAATTGTGTTTTTGCATCATTTTCGCTGCTTTTGAAGGTGTTTTTGTTGATACATGGTAAGAATCCTCTTGGCTGATGGGAGATTTTTTTTGCCATGTTCTTGCGCTGCTTATTCTTATTCGCCCGCTTCTTGTTGGAATTTTCCCGTTCCACCTTAAATGAAGAAGGTAATTGCTGCACCATTTAAGGTGGAACCGGAAAATTCCAACAAGACGCTGGCGAATAGGTAGACAACTTCGGCATCGTCGTGCAAAGTAGGGTTAGTCGACCAATGTTGGCGTCTGTCAGGGTGTTTTTATTGTAAGGAGTTTTGTGCATGCAGGCACGCGTGCATGAATCCATGCATCTTTGCTGTTTACATCAGCTGGTCAGCTGCATGCATGGTCGCTGTTTGCTTTTGGGAATATCTGGGCGCAGCAGCAGGAGGTCCATGCACGCCGTATCATGCAATGCATTAACTGAAAGGGGAACTTCACCGACTTCTCAAAATTTCTGCATAATAGTCATTCAGAGTGGTTTGGTCTAAAACGGTTCATTTGTAGAGACTAATTTTTACAGTAGTGATGATAGGAACCAGGGATCGCCATGGCTACAACACAAATGTAGCCGTATTGTTTACTATCCAGAACCCCCCAGTGAACCTACACGTCTTCTGAATTCTTAAATGTAATTTTGATAATGGTAAAATAGTAAAAAATCGTAAGAAATACGTTTTCTTGGACTATTTTGCATGCACCCGCTGCCATGAATGGATTAAAAATAAATGGGACTTAATTATGAAACTGCTGTAAAACTGTGTTAGATATCATGCAGTGAATTCATAGCCATTTCGTGTAGTAACTTTCTGGGAGGGAGCTTTTAGAGGTGGACGTCTGGTTCCTATCACCATAATTGTGACCGATTCTGACTCAGTGAGTTTCCCTAGAACGGAGCATTTAACTCCAAACCACTCTGTATTTACATCTTAACTGGTTAACTTAGCAGAAATTCTGGTGGAGTTCCCCTTTAACTTCTCACCGGCAGTTTGTAGGTGTGTTTACTGATGCCGTCTAGCTCACGTTTGTCCTTCTTTATCCCTCCTCCCTCCCCCTCCCCCCAGCCCCAGAGCCATCATGCCGATGAGCACGAGCTTGGCGTGTAAGAACTACGACTACGATTACGACTCTGTTCAGCCGTACTTCTACTTCGATGACGACGAGGACTTCTACCAGCAGCATCGGCAGCCGCCGGCCCCCAGCGAGGACATCTGGAAGAAGTTCGAGCTGCTGCCCACGCCCCCTCTCTCGCCCAGCCGGCGGCCCTCCACCGCCGACCAGCTGGAGATGGTCACCGAGCTGCTGGGCGACGACGCGGTGAGCCAGAGCTTCATCTGCGATGCGGATCCGTCGCAGGCGCTGCTCGGCTCCATCGTCCTCCACGACTGCATGTGGAGCGGCTTCTCGGCCGCCGCCAAGCTGGAGAGGGTGGTCTCTGAGCGGCTGGCCTCGCTGCGCGCCGCCCGCCGGGACATAGCCCTGCTGGAGCGCGGTGGCCCGACTCGCCTGAGTGCCACCGCCACCTACCTGCAGGATCTGGGCACGCCAGCTTCCGAGTGCATCGACCCGTCTGTGGTCTTCCCATATCCGCTCACGGAGTCACCCAGGGCGGCGGAGGTCACGCCGGACACCCCGCCTAACAGCAGCAGCGGCAGTGGCAGCGATTCAGGTACGTTACGTTTACAGACTGATTAGCAAGAGATGCAAACACTGATGTGTTCCAACCACTCTGTCACTCGTTCAGCTTTGGCATGCTAGAAATTTGCCCTCTTGAGTCAGCTGATATCCATCTGAGGGGACAAGTAGTCCATGGGTCAGCACGTTGGTTGACAAAGCGTCATAGTTGTGTAGGTGTAAAGCCATTATGACGACATTGGGAGTCCAAAAAGTGCCTTTAATGAGCTCAGAAAGTAGTGTCTTCATTTGCAACAGCAGTATTTACAGTTGACTCTGAGGGTCAGTGTGCAAATTTAGAAACGTCATAGTATCTTACACTCTTAAAAAATGGTTCTCCAGTAAAGGGAATGGTTCTCTTTAGAACCATTTCAGGTTTAAATGGTTCTTTGCATGATGAAGTGGTTCTTCAGATTGATGAAGAATTCTGTGGTTCTATATAAAACTTTTTTTGGTTTATATAGCAGCAAAAGGGTTTTATAGAAGAGCCCTTTTGGTTTAAGTGTGCAAAGGTTCTATGTACAACTCTTGGTTCTAAATAGAACCATTCCCTTCACTACAGAACCCTTTAAGAGCCATCAAATCGTAGGAGTGTATGTTAGAAAGTGTAATAAAGTGGTCATGAGAATGCTCCATGGCCCTGGTGTGTTTTCAGTGGATGATAGGGGTTTGTGGTGGTTGCATAAGCTTCCTTCACACACACACACACACACATACACACACACATACACACACACACACTTCTCTGCTAGACAAGTCTGAGCCATAAGGGAAGCTTTAAACGCTGCAGTGTTCAAATATCAGCTGACGAGGAAAGTGGGTGGGGACTGGAATGCAGAGATTTTTTTCCCTCTCTCCCTCCCTCCCTCTCTCCCTCCCTCCCTCCCTCCCTCCCTCCATGTGCCGAACACCACTTGCTACATTCCATTATTTTCCCACAGCTCCGAGCTCTGGGAATGTGCACTGATTGGGTCAGTCTTTGACATGTGATCCTAATGTTTTGTTTCTAATTGCAGAAGACGAAGAAGAGGAAGAGGAGGAAGAGGAAGAGGAAGAAGAGGAGGTGGAAGAGGAGGAGGAGGAGGATGATGAGGAAATCGATGTGGTCACCGTGGAGAAGCGGCAGAGACGGAGCGAGGCGGAGGCATGCGAGACCAGGCAGCTGAGCCCGCTGGTGCTGAAACGCTGCCACGTCTCCACGCACCAGCACAACTACGCAGCGCACCCCTCGACGCGTTACGAGCAGCCTGCGGTCAAGCGGCCGCGCCTGGAGGCGGCCTCGCTGGCCGGCGGCGGCCGGCACGGCAAGCAGAGGAAGTGCGCTAGTCCCCGGACATCGGACTCGGAGGACAACGACAAACGGAGGACTCACAACGTGCTGGAGCGCCAGCGCAGGAATGAACTTAAGCTGAGCTTTTTCGCCCTGCGGGACGAAATCCCCGAGGTGGCCAACAACGAGAAGGCGGCTAAGGTGGTCATCCTGAAGAAAGCCACAGAGTGCATCCGCAGCATGCAGTCGGACGAGCAGAGGCTGCTGTCCGTCAAAGAACAGCTGAGGCGGAAGAGCGAACTGTTAAAACACAGGCTACAGCAGCTACGGAGGAGCCAGCTATGAGTCCGTGTGGGAGAAAAGATGCAGAGACTATTAAGAAAACAGACTTTTAAGAACTTTTGTTCCCCCTCCTGCTTTTTTATGCAAGTTGAAGACTTGAAGTTGCTGGCATAGTTGTGATGTTGCATGCCCAATGCAAATGGTTTGTTTTGTTTGAATATTGTCAGATTTTTTTTGGTCCATGTCTAAAGCTGCCACAGGTTAAAGTTGAAGAGGTGGTCAAATAGAATAATTTGTATTTAAGTCATTTATTTTTATTAATAAAATGAGAAAACACAGGGTGTTTTGGCCCTAACAAAATAATTTGTATGTTTTTGTATATAATGATAATAACATATTTGCTAAGAAATGTATTTTTGGATCTGATTGTTCTTCAGATGGTATTACGTTTCACTGTATGGTGTGTTCCAGCGATTCTGAATCATAAATGCATTTCTTTCTGAAAGCAGGTTGTCGCTGTATTTTCTCCTTCACTGTTTAAGCTGCATGTGCCTGGTTCACTAAGGTCAGGTAGATGGAGGGGAAGCTTTCAAAGTGGGCCTGCTTCTGTACTTACAATGTAGGCCTATGTGCAGGGCAGTGCGTTACATAGTCCATTGCTGCCTAAAGCCAAAACATACAAGCACCTCATAGTTTTCCATTAAAGTAAGGCTATGTGCAAAGCAGTTAGGAGTCAACGAGTTCAAATCCACAAGCATTTTGTTCTTGGACAAGTTAACTGTAGTCGAACGTCTCCAGTTTGCATCTGCATACATGTAAGCAAGTAGCACAAGAGCAGTTTATTATAGGGTAGGAGCCACTGACGGTGGATTTAGGTGGAGAAGCTCTTTGTTTATGCCAGTTGCAGCAGATGGTGAAGTCATTTTTGAATGTCATTTATCATTCATGATCTACAACCATGGCTCAGATACCGCAGAAGTGTAAAAGGAACTCATGCATCACACATCAGCCAATCAAAAGCACCCATACAGCCAGATAGTTTAACACATCTCAGCACCCAAACATGGGAGGAGGAGCTGTGCATTATAACATGATCACTTCTGACAGGAAACAACTGCGGCGACCAGAAAGCGAAGGCCAATAAATCAAACCGTCTCATTTCTACACCCATTGTCCATTTTATCAGCTCCACTGACCATATAGGAGCATTTTGTAGTTCTACAGTTACAGACTGTAGTCCATCTGTTTCTCTGCATACTTTGTTACCCTGTTCTTCAGTGGTCAGGACCCCCACACAGCAGGTATCATTTGGTGGATCATTCTCAGCACTGCAGTAACACTGATGTGGTGTGTTATTGTGGTTTAGACACAGCAGTGCTGCTGGAGCCTTCAAACACTGTCTCCACTCACTGTCCACTCTATTAGACACTCCTACCTTGTCAGTCCACCTTGTAGATGTAAAGTCAGAGACAATAGCTCATCTGCTGCTGCACAGTTTGTGTTGGTCATCCTCTAGTCCTTCATCAGTGGTCACAGGACGCTGCCCACAGGATGCTGTTGGCTGGATATTTTTGGTTCTCAGTCCAGCAGTGACACTGAGGTGTTTAAAAACTCCAGCAGCACTGCTGTGTCTGATCCACTCAGACCAGCGCAACACACACTAACACACCACCACATTAGTGTCACTGCAGAATGATCCAACACCCAAATAGTACCTGCTCTGTGAGGGTCCATGGGGGTCCTGACCACTGAAGAACAGGGTAATAAAGTATGCAGAGAAACAGATGGACTACAGTCTGTAACTGTAGAACTACAAAGTGCTCCTATATGGTCAGTGGAGCTGATAAAATGGCCCGTGTAGAAACAAGGAGGTGGTTTTAATGTTTTGACTGGCTGGAGCATCAGATTCTCATCAGTCTTTGTTAAAGGAGGAGGAACCTTAAAGGGGAATTCCACCAATTTTAATTCATTTCTGTATAATGTTATGTTTATGATGTAAACATAGTCATGCAGAGTGGTTTGGTGTGAAATGCTCCATTTTAGAGAAACGTACAGAGTCAGAACTGTTCACAGTGGTGGTGATAGGAACCAGACGTCCACCTCTAAAAGCTCCCTCACAGAAAGTTATTCTGGGTAATGCCTAACATGCTTTTTATGATATGATTTTCAAAATCCTCTCATGGTGGAGGGATACATGCAGGGTGTTGTGGGGCCAAATTGTCCCCAAAGAAAACTGATTTTTTTCAGATTTTCCACTATTTTCCCATCATCAACATTCCATATAAACTCAGAAGACTCGTGTAGGTTCACTGGTGGTTTTGGATGGTAAATAAAATGTCTATATTTGTGTTGTAGTCATGGTGACCCCTGGTTCCTATCACCACCACTGTAAAGACATCTGAACCACTTCACACCAAACCTCTCTGAATCACTCTGTTCATATCTCACTCACTGAAATGTTCAGAAATTTTGAAAAATTGTCGGAGTTCCCCTTTAAGGACGCCGGGGACGAAAGGCGATGCTTAAACAAGCTCTGTCCACCTTCACGCGCACAGAAAGGCGTAATTTAACCGAATAGTGCTTTGCTTTAGTGCAGACACGAGACAGAAGCCACGCACGCGCACTTGCTCTCGCGAGCTCGTCCTTTTAGCTCGTGCAACGTCCCTCGTTCGGGCCATCGGATAACGCGTGCGAGGAATAAAGTCACTGTGACGTTTTGGCACCACGAGTAAACCCTAAAAAAACAAACAAACAAACAAAAAAAAAACAAAAAAGATTTTGTTCTTTCCCTCTCGTGACAGCGCGCCCGTGACGTCACCCCCGCCGTACGGGACCGCACGGAGAAGGTTCCCCGCGCGCGCTCTGAGCGCGTGGACGGAGAGGTGGACGTGGTGGCCAGAGGGGAGTCCAGTCCGGCAGGCAGGCTGTCCCGGAGAGGAGTATCTGCTGCGCTTTGTCGCTGGAAGCTGCGTAAGTGCTGCATTATTTCAGTCTCCCTTTATTTTGTTCAGCGCCTTTGCCTCGTGCCAGCAGGCTGCTGTAATCCCAGACCTGTTTACCAAATCACATGCATGCAACCTGCTGACCATAAACTGTGGCAGCTGAGCAGAACAGTGGAGCACGGCAGTGACATCTCAGCTGGCAAAATGGATCAGATTTAGGAGTCTTGAGTAGAAATTCAGGGGCATCTTCATCATGTTCTGTTTGAGCCAATTATGGGGGAAAAAGTGTTACTGGAGGAAAACAATAACAGCTCATATCCTCCAGGCTGTTCTTTTGTTATGACAGTAATGCTCTAATAACATGTCATGCCTCTTATTTTTATTCCCACACATATTATTTTCGCATTGTATTATTTCTCTCATTCCTCTATTAAAAGCAGGACGATGTCAGATACAGAAAAGTCCATTGTTTCTTATATGAGCTTATTTCATCTATAATATGTGCTACCTTTGATATACCTTGCTCCATTTCCATTGCGTCTTACTGAACATACTTCACAAAGAGGCAGGGCATCGATAGCCTGGCCGGTTTGCTTTGTGTGAAAGCCAGTCGGAGTGCTGCACCATCTTTGTATTCTCTCAATGCAATTTAAAGCAAATTAAATGAATTCGCAGAAGAAAATTGCTTCTTTTAATTATAATAGACAGAGAAGACGTGCACAGTTATTCCTCAAGCAACAGTTCTGTTTTATTTTTTACATTTTTGATCATCTTCATTCCTCTGCATGCTTCCCGAAAGGCTGAACGCTAAATGGGTTTGTTTTTGGCTTATAATTATTAAAGACAACCAAAAATGCTATTTGGCACTGAGTATATTTGTATGTCTGTGTTCACCGCCGCCTGTATGAAGCCTCGTCATGGCGGTAAAAGCATGAATAAGTCCCATAATAAGAATGCATTCATATTTACGACGCATGCTCATTGGTACAGAGATGTTTCTTCACTGATGGTTATTAATGAGCTGTGAACAGTCAAAGCCCTCATGGACCTAATAGGGCTGTGTTTGAAGCCGTGAGTACTAGAAGCTAATCTCTCCGTAATGCACAGTGCATTTATAGTTTTATAGCTTTATTATATATTATAGCTTTATAGTTGTCAATATCAGGGACTTTTATTGTTTTAGGATGATATTTATGGATCTGTATAAATGACAGAAATGTTCGACCAGAACTCTGACTTTGTTATCTCATTCATAAATGGGGGGATAGTTTGAGCAGTGTGGGGATATAATAACAAAGGCTTGATACTCTCAGCCCACATTTTGGTTCGATTCACTATACTCATGATTTTATATATATATATATATATATATATATATGGAGTTTATTATATTATTATATAGTCTATTATAATTAAAAGAAGCAATTATATATATATATATATATATATATATATATATATAGCAGAAAACCTTGTATCTCCAAAATGGTGATACAAACCTACTTTACTTTTAATGTAAGTCAATGGAACCAGAATTTTTTCCAAGTCATTTTATGTATTTTTCTTTTGGTCCATTCATGATGATATTTACACACAATGTAAAGGGCAACAGGTATTTTCAAATTATGTCAAAACACTGAAAAACATCAAAAATGGAGATACAAGGTTTTCTTCCGACAACAGCAGAAATATATTTTGAACAAAATTCAAATGAAGAAAAATGACTCTAATCATGTCTCAGCACAACGTACGACACTACGCCCCCCCAAAAATACACTCTTAAAAAAGATCAAGCGTTCTTTAGTAAAGAAAATGTTCTATATAGCACCAAAATGGTTCTTCTGTTGTTACGATGTCAAGCTTGTAACAATAGAAGAACGATTTTTGGTGCTAAATAGAACCCCTTTCAAAAAGATTCTATATAGAACCATCTAAAGCACATCCTCCATCATTCTAAAGAGCACTTTCATGATACGAAGAACCCTTTATTCATGCAAAGTTCTTTGCAAGATTCTTTGAGTGTTCATGGTTCCATGTAGACCCATTCAAGAACACTTGAAGAACCATCTTTTTTAAGCGTGTAGAACTGGCTTTGGTATATAGTTAAAAAAAATTAAGTTGTAGATTTTTATAATGTACGTAAATCATTAGCGTTAAAAATAATGTAAACATCCCAAGAGTTAAATCAATCAATCAGGTCAAGTAAAAAGAATGAGTTGTGTTTTTCCAAGTTTTGTGGGATTTTGCCTGGAATTGCAAAACGCATATACAAATAAATGCAGCCTGTTGTATCTAAAATAGGATATATCCCACGTTACTCATCTGTTTTGAGTTGGAAAAGATTTTATTGGCTGGCTTAAAAACCCGCTGGGAGACAGGAGGAGTGCAGGACTGGGTTGTTGCTTGGTGCCGATTGCTTGCAAACATTGTTCAAACAATGCAATTGCCTTAGATGTCATAATCAATAGAACGTCCATTCTCCACAATGCACAGTCACAGTTCTTCTCAATACTGCACAAGGTTACACCCCTAAAAGGCGGTTAGGACTTAGAAGAGTTCACCA